GAATGTCATTGACTAGTAGTAGCAAACGCAAATAGAGTTAAAAAATTAATAAATTACAAAGTAAACCCATTTACTTTTATAGTTGAATACTTTTATAATTACAAATCTATGTCGACAATATATACTTTAAAAATATTAGAAATGAATGATTTAAATTGTTTGTATGGATAAAGCTGTTTAAGCTGATTTTTTTTATTTTTGAAGGTAATATCTTCAACTAAACACGCATTGTAATTATTTGACATATCATTGAAAAAGCAGGATAAGTGAGAGTTGGAAAGATAAATCGAAGCCACAAAAAAAAAAAACATATAGTAAAATAATATTAATATGAATAAGAAATATCTTCTCATGAGGGAAAACGACATGAAGAAATCCTAGATATTTATTGAAGTTAATGAATCTAAATGAGATAAAAATAAAATTATTTGAAAATATTTTTAACTTAAAAAAAAATGCAAAATATTCATTGCCAAAGAAACCTGGTACCCCAACCGTGAAACACAAGTATTACCGATTCCGGCAACTGTTCATCTCTTTCGTCGATTAATAAAATTGTTAATTTAAGCTAATTTAAATTTCAAAGTCACCATTTGGACTTTAAAAAAGCAAAAAAATTGAAATAAGTTTAACTTCTTATGCTCTTACGAACTTTATTCTAATTATTTCACGCGACTCGATAAAACGAGTCATTATTCATTAGCAATCAAACGCTCGCTTGAGTATCGTCGATACTGAACCGTATATTATCGTTTCTCATTCTTTTTCTTTTGTGCTCTTTTGAAGCATTGCAAATGTGTATACTGTAGTAATATGCTCAATGCTTTGCATGACGCATCTTCTAATTATTAATGAAAAATGTATAATCTGTATTTTAAATAACTTGTAAACAAACAAATAATTTCTCTGTCATAACAAATACGATGTTCAACACAATTTCTTATTATTTATATATATATGTCAATTTATCAATTGTTAAATATGTTATCTGAATATAATAATCCTGTAATGTATAATTAATACAATAAACTAAAAAGATTACTAAAAGCGCTGACAACAATATCCCTGGATTGGGGGTAATATCATTTTACTATAAAAAGCACTGAAATCCTTTCAGTCCGAGAGAGTCAGGGAAAGACTCCAAAAGGAGGAGTGAAGACTCCAGACAGAGAGTCAGGGAAAGACTCCAGAGAGACGAAAAAAGGAAGAAGTGACAGCGATCAAGAGAGTTCGTTTTCTCCGAATTAAAATAAGAATAAAATTATCAGTCACAGCCCTGTGTTGTTGTCGGCTGACTTTTATGCGTTTTATTTATATATGAAAAGAACTTGTTTTAATTATTTATCTTTTAACGAAGTGCGAATTAAATACTTTTAAACATATATAAATATATCGAGATAATTATCAAATCATTTTACAAGCAATTTACAAGAATAAAAGAAGTAAGTAATTTTATGTTATCCCAATTATTTAAAGTTAATAGTTTGAGTAAAGGATGACAAAGCAATAGATCATTTATTAAATTAATATCTTAAAGTGTCAATTTTGACTGGTTGGTTAAAGAAATTATACATAATCACGTTATATGGTAATCGTGAACTGGCTCTGCCGTTTCGTTGCCTTAAAGATGTTTTAAAAAACCTAGCGTGATTTCTACTGTATAAATTAGGCTCTGGTATTCGTGGACTGGCTCTGCCGTCTCGTTGCCGAGGTATTCGTGAACTGGCTTCGCCGTTTCGTTGCCTCTTAGTTAGGACATTAGAAACTAACCAGACAAAAGTTTATTCTACCTCTATAAGAGGAACTTAATATATATTTTTATATCTACTTGTCTTTGTCGTTCTAAACCCTCGAACCATACGACCCCGATAGAACCACAACATCAGGTTCTCACTAAGCCCAAATATTTATCTTTCATTATTTATATTTTACCAACTTTGCCCTTCAATATTTTTGAATTATAACAATACATAAAAGTTATAAGTTTCGTTAAATTCGACGGCCATTTTCCTATAGAAGAAAAAGCCTTGGGACAATATTTTTTTTTTAACTTATAGTACTTATTGTAAGCTTTAATTTGACATATGTGTTAAAGGACGCAGTATTTCCAGAACATTTTCAAAAGTTAAGTTGAAAAAGCTAGTTTCTGTAAAAATTATGCTATTTAAATCCCTCCCTGTGATCAGATTAAGTGTTAGATATTTAAAAAAATTATATTGAATGAAAGGGAAATATCGAATGTTTTAGTAAAAAAAAAAAATTAAGTTGTTTTGTTAATTTTTAAAAAAGTTATGGTAGTTTTAAGAAAAAAAATTGAAAAAAATGACGAAATAACGTGATTTGAAAACTTGTAATTTTCTTGGAAATTTCCCTCGTTTACGGGGAACATAGGAATTTTTTTCAATTTTAAAGGGTAATGTATTTAACTAGATACGATTTGTGATCTTTTGACATTTTGTTCATCGAAATCGATCCAGTTGGAGCAGAAAAAAAGTGGCAACAGACAAAAAAAAACCCAGCACAGGGGGGTCGCGGCACAGTGGTGACGTGGCATAGTTGGATCAAGTATAATGATATTTGACAGTGATTAAAATCACTATCAATAATAAACGCTTCGATGCAAATCTTAAATAGTGATTAATTTTAAAAAAATTGGTGTTTTATTCCAAAAGCTACTTGATCTGCTGGTTTCTTATTAATATCCTGATTAAGATAAAGTATGTCGAATGAAAAAGAGTTTATTAAAAAATATTATTTCTCATAAAAAAATTGTGTGGATCCATAAACTTTTCAATAAGTTATAGCATTATAAAGTTAAATATAATATAAATAATAAAGAATTCGAGAATTTTCACACAAAAATAGCATTTGATAGCCATTTTCGCCGTGAAGACAAGTCCAGAGGTCAAATTAAAGTATATTACATTAGCTTTAATTTAAGATATATATAAAAGTGTCAGACCTTCCGGAACATTTTCAAAAGTTATGTTGAAAAAGTAAATTTTTTGTGAAAAAGTTGTCATTTTAAATCCCCCCCTGTGGGCAGATTAAGTGTTAGATTTACAAAAAAAATATACCAAATGATAAGTAAAGACATCAAGCATCTATATAAAAAAAAATTATATTGATATGTTCATTTTTGAAAAAGTTAGAGCATTATTAAGTTAAAAATATAAAAAAAAATTATTTTNACTTCTCATGAAAAAATTGTATTGATCCATACATTTTTTAAAAAGTTATATAACTTTAAAGTAAAAAATGTAAATTATAAAATCGAGAATTTTCACACAAAAATAGCATTCGGTAGCCGTTTTCACCATGAAGACAAGTCCAGAGGTCAAATTTTTTTTTTTCAAATTAAAGTACATTACATTAGCTTTAATTTAAGATATATATAAAAGTGTCAGACCTTCCGGAACATTTTCAAAAGTTAAGTTGAAAAAGTTAATTTTTTGTGAAAAAGTTGTCATTTTAAATCCCCCCCTGTGGGCAGAAAAAAGGTCAAATTTACAAAAAAAATATACCAAATAATAGGTAATGACATTAAGCATCTATAAAAAAAAAAATTATATTGAAATGTTCATTTTTGAAAAAGTTACGGCAGTTTTTAGTAAAAAAAATTGAAAAAATTTCGAAAATTAGCGATTTTTAAATTTGTAATTTTTTTGGAGGTTTCCCCCATTTACGGGGAACGAGGGAAATTTTTTCAATTTTGAAGGGTAATGTCTTCGACTAGATAC